GGGCCCATGAGCCATGGCCGCTGAGCCTGCGCGTCCGGAGCCTGTGCTCTGCAACGGGAGAGGCCACAACAGTGAGAGGCCCGTGTACCAAAAAAAAATAAAAATAAAAAGTTTCCTTCCTTCCTTTGTTCTCCAGAATATCTGTTTTTCTCATGCAACAACGTCTATCTCCCTCCCGTCCATCCCTCTTTCCTTTTCTTCCGTGTGTGTGTGTGTGTGTGTGTGTGTTATGTGTGTTGTATTGATTCAGATGCAGACATGTTATCTATTAAAGTGAGCAAGATACTTTAACTTACCAGTTGAGATCTTTTTTCCCCTTCTCCAATATAAATCAGGTAGAATGGCACAGACCAATGAGGCAGCAACATTGTCAAGGGTTAAAAAAAAAAGATAAAGTATTTTGAAGAAGTAGTCATGCCATATAAACAACTATGTAACTATAAAATTAGGTGGGCTGGGCTTCCCTGGTGGCGCAGTGGTTGAGAGTCCGCCTGCCAATGCAGAGGACACGGGTTTGTGCCCCGGTCCGGGAAGATCCCACATGCCGCGGAGCTGCTGGGCCCGTGAGCCATGGCCGCTGAGCCTGCGCGTCCGGAGCCTGTGCTCCGCGGCGGGAGAGGCCACAACAGTGAGAGGCCCGCATACCGCAAAAAAAAAAAAAAAAAAAAAATTAGGTGGGCTACTTTGAGATTTTGATAGGAATAATTTGAAACAAATTGAATATATGTTATACTTAAAATCTAAACTATTAGCTAAATTTTGAGATATTAGTTTTTTCCAGAGCACACTGCATATGGATGTATGAAGTTATTTCACGTATAGTTGTATAGTTGACTGTTTTATTTCCTCTGTAGACTAGCTAATGTTAGAAAAAATTTGGCTCCATTGTTTTCTTTCCCTTAAGGAACAGAACAGAGAAATGATTTTCTTGTTTAATATTGAAGTTAGTTGATGAATGTGAACATTATAATGTTATAATTTAGTTGTCTAATCTCAGTGGCCTTTCGGTGACGGAAAAGGAAAGCGCTGTTTGGTTTGAACCTAGCACACAGACATCAGAGAGAATTGAAGGCAATTCATAGGGTCTTCATCCCTAGTGTTTATCCTTGTGCCTGCTTCACTGTCCTAGTTCACATTTTTAGCGCTAAGGAAATGACAGATTAACCAGAAACATTTGCATAAGGGCAGTCAGGTGACTTCTTGATGTATTTTGTACAAATTGGAATCATTCTTCTTTGTTAAATGTCTGGAAGTTTGTATAATTTCAAAACTTCCTTCTCCCTCTGCAGAAATAAGAGAGCTGATGTTCGAAAAGTAGCACATCGATTCCTGGTAGATAACTTGAATCCTTTAATATTAAATTATGTTAAAAAGAAGAGGTTTCATCAAATATTTCTTGAGGAGATGCCCTGGAAAGCTCAGATGAACCTGTATCTGGCAAGCGCACACTTCAGCCTGCTTTTAACAAAGCTAGGGGAACATACAAAGATGAAATTTGGTTCGTCATTGGTAATGGTCAGGTAAGAGTATATTATCAATGAATAATACGTCTTTAGTCTCAAGAACATGGGTTGTATTTCTATGAGCAGGGCTCCAATGCTGATGATAACTTAAAGAGGTTTACAAAGTGCTTCAGTCTGTACTGACCTTTGGTATATTTTTAAACATCTTGGAATCTTTCCCAAATGAGTTCTGAAGTGCTTATGAAGTACTAATTTGCATATATTTTGAATATATTAGTCAATATAGCTTTCAGTGAAAGGGGAAAGTGAATGTTCCAAGAGAAGTTTAATATTAATTGTACAGAAATTATATTAGTAGTCATTAGGCAAATCTCTCTTTCATTTAGAGATATATTTTAAGCCTGTATAAACACAGGTTGTATTTTCTCATACAATGTAAACTTTCTGTCATTAATTCCAAAGACATATTCCAGCTCTTGTTGATTGTCTTTGGCTAAAGTGTTGTTTATAGGAGATAAAAAAAGAACATAAATACATAATATGGAATACCATGTAACCAGAGTAACTGTATGTAACCAGAGTCTTTCTTTAAAAAAACAAGAACAACAGAAAAAAACTCATTGAGGGAATTCCCTGGAGGTCCAGTGGTTAGGCCTCTGAGCTTTCACTGCCGTGGGCCTGGGTTTCAATCCCTATTTGGGGAACTAAGATCCTGCAAGTGCACAGCGTGGCCAAAAAAAAAAAAAACCTTGTTGAGCACCTGTTAGATACCAGGTGCTGAGATAAGTACATGAGCATTCAAAGATGAGCAGGATATACAAGTTGGACTCTGGTAGTGTGGCTCACAAATGTTCACGAATAATTGTAAATAATGGTAAAAAGTGAAGTGCACATAAAGTCTTTGTTCCTTGGGAGGAGGCTTTCTCTGATGAGACTAACAGGAAAGGTTTCACGGGGAGAAGCCACTTGCCCTGGGTCCTGATGGACAGGCAAAATATGAAATGTGCAGGTAGGGAAATAAGCATTTTGGATAGGTGGAAGAACGAGTCAAGAGCCCAGGTAGGAAACACAGGATGGGAACCCCCAGGGGTCTGACCAGAATCTAGGGCATGTGAAAGGGAGTGGTGAGAAGTGATTGGAAAAGTAGGTCGGTACCAGATCATGGAGGGTCTTAACAGTCTATTAAATCTTAACTTTAATTTATATACAGTGGAAGATTATTAAGTTGTTTTTTTATTTAAGCAGGGCTATGATAGGCAATTTCTCTGACAGCAACATATCAAATGGATTGGAGGAAGGAAAGAATGGTGACAGGGATATGAATTAAGAGGGTGTTTATTTCAGTAATCCAGTGATACAATATGCAGGTTGAAACCCACAATGAACTTGATCCAGTTTCTATTTCTCCAGAATTTTGTTTAAAATAAAATTCTGGTCTATGTGGGCTAGACCAGGTTAGCATTTAAGAAGCAGTTAGATTGCTTGACTAACAGGGAAGGCTTTTGGCAAAGTGACCCATTCTTGAGGCTGTGAAAGGGAAAACAGTTCAGATCAGATGGGCTTCCTCACTGTCCCCTGGACACCGAGAGTTCTTCTCTGACCTGCCAGTCACACACGGCCATTCGTGCGTGATTACTTGGCGGCACAAAAATTAGACAGTGACCGAATTTGTATCAGGGTAACTTGGTGCTAAATTCCATTTTATTAAAACATGTATTTATTTATTTGGTATTTGACAGAATTAATTCAATTTTGCTTATATTGTTCTTTTAATGAGTTTTTTTCCCCTTTGCAGTTTCCGATCATTTGATCCTAATATGTTCTCACTGTATAATTCAGGAACAGTATTACCAACAGGAAAATTGACTCTAGAAAACTATAAAGTGATGCTTGATTTCCTTCTTACAGCTAAAAAAAGAAAGGCTCACTTACCATCAGGTAAAATAAATATGTTCTATGCTATCAAATTGTCTTTAGATTTTTTTATTCACAAATGCAACACATACATACACACATACCCTGGCAGGTACACCCTCCCATAGACACAGAGCTACACACATCATTTCCCAATGACTTAGGAATTTAGTTGAGTTGTGATATTTTGTAGGAGATTCTTATTTGTTCTATTTTTTAAAAAAATTTCTACATTTTTGTGGCATCATCATATATATTTGGAAATATTTATGTAGGATTCTCCCCTAAATCAATTTGGCCATTCAGCAAATATAATGTTCTTTAAAAAATATTGGTAGCCTCCAGTGGTCAAGGTAAGTGGAGACTTGCTGTCAGGTTTTATGTTTTAGTGGAAGTAAGTTTCAGAACAAATTCCACCAAACATACTGATGCAAGCAGGCATGAAAACATCATGCAGCTGTTTCATAGTTCCGATTTTGTACTCAGGGCAGTCCACTCTTGCCTTAGGAGCTGTAATTATCACCTTCCATGAAAGCTTTCTCCAAGATGAAGGCAGTAATACCCTAATGGCAGGACCAACCAATATTGTCTTCTGGTCAGGTGACTGGGGCCTCCAGGATGTGGAGAGATGTAGGTGAACAGGGCTCTCTGGGTGTTGCACTGATGACACTATTTCTAAACAATCACCTATCTTGAATACCACTCATTTCACAAATAACTTATTTCTAATATCTTTATGCTAGTACAAACCCTCTTATATAGATTTTCAAAAATGGCATTTTAAATCCTATATGGCTTATTGCTGAACAGGATATTTCATATGCTGGTTAACTGCCCCAGGGGGTTTGATTCATATTTGAGGTACTTAACATGCTTTTTAATTTCTTCTATGGTATAGTTTAAGTTTAACTGGTACCTGCATGTCATACCAGGACTATTAAAGTATTTGAAAGTAAATTCCCTGGACATAGAAAGAGTCCGAGTTTTGTATGTACATTACAATATATATAGCTTCTTGAGTTTTTTTAAAGTAGCTCCCTAAGACCTCCCATGAAATTGGCAATAAAATATTCTGCTATTGAGACTTATTATTTAATGCAGAGTTCTAGTAAGGGAATGTTTGTGGCAGGAGAAATCCTCTGTGTTTTTATAGCACAGCAGTGGGAGAACGAGTGATCAGGGTTGCTGCACTGCCTAACACCAGGGGATGCTCCTCACCTTCCGGCGTGTGTGTCCAGGGAATGGCCTGTTTGCGGGGAAATTAAGGAACAGTGGGATCCTGTCATTCTTCTCCCCCAAAGCATGACATTCCTGCCTCTGCGTCGTTCCCTTGGCCATCACCCTTGCCTGGAATGTTCTCTGTACTCTTCCCACGTAGCTAAATCATGATCACCCTTTAAGAACTAATCTAAAAGCCTCCTTCTCTGGAAACTTTCCCGGGTTCAGCATATCCATGATAATTCTGTCCTTCCTCCAAATTTATGTAGTGCTTGTTATCTGAATTATTCATTTGATGCTAGTCATCTGTTGTGTTTCCTGGAACTTAACTCTCTTTTCCATAATATTATACTTTATATTTGTACTGTAGATGCAGAAGAATTTTCGGCATTTCTTAATTCCAAGATGAGTGATGAAAATGTTTCCAAGACACAAACAGGTTATGAATCAGACTCTCAGTCAGGTCTCAGTGGTAAAGAAAAGGATCACTCAGCAAATGTGGGTCTCTTGGATCACTTTATGAAAATCTTTTTATATTGCAGGAGAGCAATGGTAAGGTGGTCCTTCTTATTTGTTAATGTAGTGGACATAAATCTCAGCCCATGAATTTGGGCATGTATGATACATTTATTTACTTAGTATCCATAATTTTAGTTTCATCTGTGAGATTAAATTTGCTGGATTTTGGGCTTCCCTGGTGGCGCAGTGCTTGAGAGTCCGCCTGCCGATGCAGGAGACGCGGGTTCGTGCCCCGTTTCGGGAGGATCCCGCGTGCTGCGGAGCGGCTGGGCCCGTGAGCCATGGCTGCTGAGCCTGCGCGTCCGGAGCCTGTGCTCCGCAAATGGGAGAGGCCACAACAGTGAGAGGCCCGCATAACGCAAGAAAAAAAAAAAAAAAAAAAAAAAAAAAAAAAAAAAAATTTGCTGGATTTTATGTCAGTCATCTGTAAGGCTTGCCTGCCATGGGACTGAGGTCTCACATTTGGTCAAGTTGTGAGGGAGGAGGGAAAGCCCCTTTAGTCATTAGTCATACATCCACCCAGAGCTGAGGTGGCCTTTGTCCTTGTCTACAAAGTCTCCATGAGTATTCAGACACCCCTCTGCTGCTTTCTAGCCACACTTGGGACATGGGCTTCTCCAGTGACACCAGGGGTTCTTCTTCGGGCTCTTGATCCCTCCTGGGCACCATAGACTCCTTTCTCCCCTCTAGCACAGGGGAAGATCTTTCTAGGCCACGGGGAAGCCCTGTCCCTTCCCCCCTGACCTGCTTCTCCAGGCTACTTGTGTCTTCTGTCAAACGCTTTTGTCTTTTTCTTGTTAAGTATTATATGATAGATTATTAAACTCAGAATTGGAATCATTAGCTACAAAGAAATTTGTTTCCTTTTTCTCATAGCAAGAAGGGGATGTACTTCAAACTTCTCAAGAGATGAGAAGAAATTTATCCTTTCTAGATGAGAAAGGAATACTTAAGTTCCCACTTTCTTCGTGAAGTAGAGAGAGTGACCTTAGAAAAATGTAAAGTAAACCCACCTCATCTCCCTTGACCATGAGCATTGCATCCTCTGCTCCTTTGTACCAGCTTCAGGGCCCTAGAAGGTCTGGGTTCTGCTCACTTCTCAGGACTCACTCCTCTTGCTCTTGTGCAGTCCACTCTCCCCTCTGTGGTTCTGAAAGCACTAAGCTTGCTCCCTCTTCAGCCCTCAGGTTCACCCTCCATCCTTTGCACCTGCTGTTCCCTCAGCCCCAAATGTTCTTCTCCCAACACTCCCACCCCCACCTTCACATGACTTGTTCAACTCAACATTCAGGGCTCCGCTCATATGTCACCTCATAGAGAACGTCTCTCCTGACCACCCTGTATTAAAGGACCTGTCCTCTCACCCTCACCACGTTCTGAGTCATTTCTGCTTTATTTGCCTTTACAACACTTATCATTCCCTGAAATTGTATTTTTATTTGTCTGCTTATTTGGTATCGATCTCTCCTAATAAATTGAAGCAGCACGAGGGCAGGCCCAGTTTCCCTTGCTCGCTGTGACGTTCCCAGCACCTAGAACAATGGGTGTGCTGGAGTCAGACCGCTGGTGTGCAAATCCTAGCTCATCACTTAGTAGACTCATAACCTTGGGCAGTTTAGCCCCATGCCTCCATTTCCTCATCTGTAAATTGAGGAGAATACTAGTGCATACCTACTTCATAGGAGTTGTCATTAGAATGAACTGAGATAATGCATATAAATGTCTTACCACAGTGTCTAGCACATGTAAGTAGCATATAACAAATGGTGTTAGTTACTCTTACTATTGACATAGAATATTTGCAGAAAGAGGAAGTTGTTCAGAGATCCATAACTTTGGGAACTTCGGCATCTTTTGAATGTTGTGTCTGTCTTAGGTTCTTGCTCATCGTGGTGGCTATTGGACTCTGCTTCAGAACTGCTGTCGGGCTCTTTGGAACTTTACTCAGGAGCTACAAATGCTTCAAAAACAAGCAGTGGATCTGTATAAAACATTTCCTATTAGCCAGGATGGTTTCCTCTGTACCTCTGTTTTACCATTCTATTTGGGAGCAGAATTACTTATTGACATGTTAATAGAACTACAAAATATCAGTTCTGTTAAGGTAAGAGTATTTGGGTAATTCTTTTTATTGTAGGTTAATTAACAAATTCTTTGTACCATGCAGCTTGGGATAAGTAGAAATTAATATTTTGCTTGAGTTGTTATTTGGTTTGTCTGTATTTCATTTGTTTCTCATTGTTACTTGGTTCACAGTATATAGCAGTGCATTGATGTTAATTACAAATATCTGCCCGAAAATTCAGTTTCTTAAATGGAACAGAAAGTAACATTTACTGAGCTCCAGCTTCTACATAAACTAATCTAAATACATTTAATCCTCATAGCAATCTTTTTGACGGAAAAAGAAACAGACCCTAAGACAGATCATGTAGCTTGTTGGCTGATATTTATTTCACTGCTTTATCTGTCCATGTTTTGTTACACTAGACGTGGTAGAATTTACAGCCATCTCAAATCTAGCACACTGTGGTTTAAAGCATGAAAATAAAATGGAAAAAAATGCAAACATCACACAACCCAAACACACTGAAAATTAGTAAACACATAAACACTTTGAGTCATCGGGTTTATAACATTTTCAGATGTAAAATATATGACAACAATAGCACAAAAGACTGGGAGGGCAAATAAAATTAAACTCTCATAAGTTTTTAAACTTTATCTAAAGTGGTACAATATTAACTCTCAGTGGAATGTGATAAGTTAAGTATGCATTTAATAATCCCCAGAATAACTACCAAAAAAGAGATATAGCTAAAATGCCAAATGGAAGCTAAAAGTAAAGTGGAAAGCTGAATAATAGTCAATTAAAGAAGGCAGGAAAAGAGGAACACAGGCACATGAGACAAATAGAAAACAAATAACAAATAATCTAACCCAATTATACCTATAACTATATTAATATAAGTGGATTAAATACCCTAATTAAAAGGCAGAGATTGTCTGACTGGATAAAAGAGAAAGACGTGCTCTTGTCCATAATAGAAGCACTTCTGGGACTTGCCTGGTGGCGCGGTGGTTAAGAATCTGCCTGCCAATGCAGAGGACGTGGGTTCGAGCCCTGGTCTGGGAAGATCCCACATGCTGCCGAGCAACTAAGCCCGTCACCACAACTACTGAGCCCGCGCCCTAGAGCCCGCGAGCCACAATTGAGCCCGCATGCCACAACTACTGAAGTCCGCTCACCTAGGGCCTGTGCTCTGCACCAAGAGAAGCCACCGCAATGAGAAGCCCGCACACTGCAATGAAGAGTAGCTCCCGCTCGCCACAACTAGAGAAAGCCCGTGCACAGCAACAAAGACCCAGTGCAGCCAAAAATAAATTAATTAATTAATTTATTAAAAAAAAAGAGAGAGAGAAGCACTTCTGGGTATAAAGAAACGGATAGATTGAAAATAAAACAGTGAAAGAAAATAGTAAGCTTAAATTTGAAAATAGTAAACAAAAAAAGCTGGTGAGGCTATATTAATATTAGATAAAATAGTCTTCAAATCAAGAAGTATTTTGAGAGATAAGGAGGGACATTTCCTAATGAGAAGCTCAATTAATCAGGAAGACATACTAATCATAAACGTGTATGCACCAAATAACAGAGATTCAGAATACACTCGACACCCAAAGCTTGAAGAGCTTCCTGTTTGGTGGACACATTGATGTCGGATGGGTATCAGGCCCTGACTCGATAGAGAGAGGGCACAGAACCTCCGCATCTTGGACCCTTCCAGACCTAGCTCTATGCACCTCTTCCTTTTGACTGTTCCTGAGTTGTATCCTTTATAAGAAAACTGTTATCAGTGAATTCTGAGTCATTCTAGGAAATGATTGAACCCAAATTTATAGCTCGTCAGTCAGAAGTGCGAGTGACCCTGAGACTTGTGGCTGGCATCTCCAGTGAGCACTGAGCCCTTAAACTGTGGAGTCTGACCCTGACTCTGGGGTAGTTAGTGTCAGAAGTGACGTGCAGGACAAATTAAGATTGGTTGGAAACAGAGCACAAGGCACATGATGTGTTCACCAAGATGTATCATATGCAGAGTCATAAAATAAGTCATAATAAAATTTAAAAGACTGAAATCTGAAAGAGTATGTTTTCTAACTGCTACATTATAAACAGATTAATATAATGTAGGAAGAAAAATCTCCAAATATCTGGAAATTAAGTAACACAGTTCTAAATAATCCATGGGTCAAAGAAGAAAACACAAGGGAAATTTTAAAAGTATTTCAACTGATGATAACATATCAGAATTTGTGGGATGTAAATAAGCCAGTGCTTAACAGAAACTTTATAGCTTTAAATGTTTAGTAAATAGGAAGAAAGATATAAATCAATCATTTAAGTGTTCATCTATGGGAGCTAGAAAAAGAAGAGTAAATTAGACCCAAAGTAAGTAAAAAGAATAATAGAAATAATAAGAAGAAATGAAGGAAATGGTAAGAGCAGAAATAAATTAGATATAAAACAACCCAGAAAATAAAGTCAGTAAATTAATCTTTTGAAAATATTATTAAAATTGGCAGAATCTTAGGAATACTGATGAAGAACGAAAGTGAGAAAAGCACAGATTACTAATACTAGTAATGAAAGAGGGATATAGCTACAGTTTCTATATATATTAAAAGAAAAATAAGGGAATGTCATGACCAGTTTTTACTAATGAATTTGATAACTTAGATGAAATGGACATGCCTATTAGAAAGTACAACTTAACAAATCTGACACAAGAAGTGATAGAAAAAATGAATTACCCAAATATATTAAAGAAATTGAACTCATAATCAGAAACCTTGACAGAAAGAAAACTCTAGACCCAGAATATTTCCCTGCAGCATTCTAGCAAACATACAAGGAAGAAATAATAAATCATATACCAATTTTTTTTAGAAATGAGGCCAGCTTAACCCTGACAGATATATCAAAAAGAAAAGTATGACTCAATATTACTCATGAACATAGACACAAAACTCCTTAATGAAGTGTTAGCAAATCAATCCCAGTAAGATATAAAATAATGCAAATTATATATATAATATATACAAATGATGATCAAGGGGGGTTTAATCCCAGAAATTTAAGGTTACCATTTGAAAATCAATCAATGTAATTCACCATATTAATAGGATAAAGGAGAAAAATCACATGGCCATTGAAATAGATACAGAAAAAGTATTTACAGAATTCGATATCACTTTTTCCACCTGCTCCTCCTCCCCCTCTGGTTTCACCATGCTCACTCTGAGCTCTGGGCACCTGCTAAGCCAGGGCAGCTGTCATCTCTCTCCAGTTGCCATCACAATTATTTACCTGGGCCTCATCAGCCATCATGAGATATTCCCCGACATTTATAAGTTCCTGGAGATGGAGAGCGGGCTGTGCCTGGAGGTGGAAGGGAAGGTGGTCAGTAGGACAGAGGATAACATTGATGGAAATGTACTCTGCTGTACAGTGCTTTCAGTACCCTAGGTGAAGGTACTGAAAGCACAGTAATCACTGGTGTTGATATTGTCATGAACCATTGCTTGCAGAAAATCAGTTTTAAAAAAGAGGGCTGTAAGAAGTAAACCAGAGTTTCCATGAAATCAATCAGAGGCACACTTGAAGAACAGAAACCAGAAAGAGTAAAACCTTTTATGACAGAGGCTACAGAATTAGTCAAGCACTTCCTTACTAATTTAAAAAACTGCCAGTTTTTTATTGGTGAAAATATGAATCTAGATAGTGTGGTTGCTCTGCTGGACTCCTGTGAGGATGGTATGACCCCATTTATGATTTTCTTTATGGACGGTTTAGAAATGGAGAAATGTTAACAAATTTGGCAATAACTTTGGATCGGTCACCTGTCATTATAACTGGCTGCCGCTTTTCATCCACACGGCATGAGGACTTAGACAAATGGGACTGATGTCATCTTGAGCTCCTTGACTTTTGATTATTAGATGACAAGGATGGAGCTCATAACATCAATAAAATGACATCTATCCTTTATTGAGCACGTCTCAGGTGCCAGGCACTGTGCTAAGGAGGCAAAGTCACGTAGGTCATGTATGTCACACCTATTATCCACATCTTCATAGCCTGACTTCAGGTATGCATATGGCATTTCACAGCCATATGACTTTCAAGATCTCTTCCAAATTCAAGGACTATGAATCTTATGGGAGGGAGGGGCTAGACTTGAGGTACTGTTTATTGGGCTATAGTCTGGCCAGTAGGTGGATCTAACGGGCTTTGCTTTGCCTCAGAAATTTCTAGGGGTTTACACAAATGTGTCGGGACTTACAGGAAATGAACACAATAGTTACAGAGTACCTTTAACTTAGGCAAAAGGAGGGTCTTCTGAAAGATTTTCTTCTCCATAAGTTTGACCTTTTGCATTGGGGAATTGGACATATTATTCTACAAACTGAATGTAACCAATGTATTAGGGAAATTTAATTATTTGTGTATACTATAACCTGTTTTTCCTTAAAATTTTACCTTATTTATTGGTTTACTATCCTTACTTAAATAGTGACTATGTACCAGCAAGTATAGTAATGACTAGGCTTACATGCTATTTACATTTAGGCTTAAATGATTAAAATGAAATAAAATTAAAAATCTACTTGCACTAGTCATACTTCAACAGCTCAGCATCCACATGTGCTTAGCGGCCTCTGTATGGAACCGCGCAGATGAAGCACGTTTCCATCATTGCCGAAGTGCTGTTGGATGGTGTCATCAAGCTTTGATTTGCATAATAAAAATATTAAATTTATTTTCTGTTCAGTTCTTTTCCATGTTATATTTTTAGCTATACATTCAGTGTTCAGAAAAAACATGTAGTAAAATCTGAAATTACACAATTTTTTTTTCCATGTGCTACTTGCAGACTGTTGAAGAAGGAGAGTTCAGTGTTCCAAGTTGCTATGGAAATATTGAAAATGATAACGGTGGTTCTAGCCTTACCTTTGAGCATCCTCTGGATGATGTCAATGTGGTTGATTTGAAATGGATCCACGACTTTGTATTAAAATCTCTGGAACTTGTATATCAAGTAGAAAAATGGGAAACACTTGTATCACTTGCCATTCAGTTCAATACAATTTCGCAGTAAGTACCGCTGTAAGGGCAGCTAACAGGGACAGACTTCACTGAGAAGAATGTTTCTTTACTAACGTTTGTTTTTAATATATTTTTACCATTGTCTAGTGAGAGATATACAGAGCAAGTGACGCCACTCCTGGTGTATGCACAGCGCCAGCTGCTTCTACGAATATCCAAGTGCAAGGGCCCAGATATTACCCAACAGCCTTGCGTAAGATATGAGGCTGAATATGGACAGAAGGTAAGTTTGGTGCAGTGGTGATTTCTTATTAGTACACATGTAAATAGCAAGATTTAGGAATCAGATAAATGCTCCTATTTTCACTTAGGCATTTATCATTCAAATCAGCAAAGATTGTTGAGAGTTGCTCGCTGCCAGTGTTTTCCAGATGCAGGGAAAACAAAAATAAAGTCCTGGTACACAGGAGCTTATATTCAGGTCAGGGCTGATTTACCCATTAGGCATAGTGGGAACAGTGTCTAGAGCCACAGTACCTTTTTAGGAGCCACACATTTTTTAATTTCTTTCAAAATAAGAAAAAAGTAACTTTCAGGTCAAAGAAAATGTTTCAGTTTTTACAATTCATCTATTTATGTTTATACCAAAGGAGTCATAGAATATAATTTTTAATATTTTTTGATGGAGCAGTGGGCCCATGAAGGCAAAAGTGCCTAAGGCCCACGAACATCATGGTGCAGCTTTAAGTTAGGTAGGGGGAGGGAAGACGTATGTAAATTCTCTCATTTATTAACTTACTAAATATGTATTGACTCCCTAAGATTAGAGCCATTGCATTCAGATGTCCAGTGTGTGTCCTGCCTGAGGGCTCCTGGCGTATGTCGGGGGTCCTGGATTCAGTCCCTGCCCCACACACCAGTCCATGTGGTGGGTTGCAGCCACCCAGCGAGGACTCCATTTTCTCCTTTTCACGAAGGTTCCTTATCGCCTTGGCATAGCCTATGTAGAGAGAATACAGTTTGAGTTCTCACTTTATGGAGTTTAGTGTCAGAGGGGGTGGAAGTAGGGCCAGTTAATAAGCATGTAAACAGATAAAAAGATTTACAACCATCATAAATTCTCTGAGGAAAATAAAATAGGTCAGTGGGATAGAGATAGGCTAGGGTGGGGGGTAGAAAGTTGAGCCAAGGGGATCAGGAAGGCCCTTGGAGATGGAAACATTTAGTGGGAAGGGGCCGGCCATACGCTGGGCAAGAGCATTCCAGCCCAAGGGAAGAACAAGGGCAAAGGCCCTGAGATGGTACAGGAAGAAGGCCCGCATGCCGCAGTGTAGCAGAGGAGGGGGAGGGGACAAAGAAGAGGCTGCTCCTTCTGAGTCTTCTTTGTTGCCTCTTCCTCTTCCTCCTCTCCTCCACAATGTCTCAGAGTTCGTGTAGCCCGACACTCTGTTCTTGGTCCCCCTGTCTTCTCTATCCGCACACTCTCCCTTGGAGAGTTAATTCAATCTGTGGCTCAAAATTACATCTCCAGGCTAGACCTTTCTCCTGAATTCTGTGTTGACATATCTGACTGCCTGTATCAGTCAGGGTTCAGTCAGAGAAGCAAAACTAGTTAGAATTAACTGTCTGTCTGTTGATCTATCTATCTATCTACCTATCAAGACTGGTTAAAAGGAGTTGGCTTATATCATGGGGGCTCACTAAGCAAGTTCAAAATCCATTGGGTAGGCAGTTGGGATCATGAAAAGGAAGGAACCCTACGGGTGTGGCCAGAAGCTGTTCTCCATAGGCAGTCAGTGAGGGAGGATCCAGTGAGGAGAGAGCAGCTGTAGACCTGGATGCTGTTTGGAGTTTGGAGTCTGAAGGCTTCCAGCATGTCAGGGACTCACCTGATTAGGTCAGGCCCACCTACGATAATCTCCCTAGCTTAAAGTCAGTTTATTAGGGACTTTAATTAGTATCTGAAAAATACCCTCACAGCAGCACCTAGATTACTGTTTGATTGAATAACTAGGATGAAGTGTGTATACACTACACAATGGATGCTTCCTTCCCATCATCCTCATAGTTTAGCCTAACTAAACTGACTTATCAAAAACCCATCACATTGCCTTATCAGCATCATCTCTTAGATGTTTAAGAGTCTTCTCGAATTTGGTGTATGTCAAGCAAACCTTTTCTGCCACGTCTTGCCCACTTCAGTTGATGCAAACCTCATCCTCCTAGCTGCTCAGGCCAGACACCTTGGAGAGCATCCCTGACTCCTCTCTTGCTTTTACACCCCACTTCAGGTTAGTTACCAAATCCTCTCCCTTCAAAATAGATTCAGAATCTCACAACGTCTCGCTGCCTCCACCACTGCTGCTCTCATCCAAGCTACTGCTGTGTTTGCTTGGATTAGTGCAATGACTTCCTAACTCTTTTCCTTGATTCCAGCCTCCCTGAACTCCTGTCTCCAGCCTGTAGTCTATTCTTAATGGCAGATAGAACAGCCTTTTAAAAATCTGTCAGACCATGACATTCCTCTGCTTTAAACCCTGCAGTGGTTTCCCATCTGATTCAGTGTTACAGTTAACATCTTCATCATGGCCTTAATGCCCTACATAACTCATCCCCTTGTGATCACCAGTAACTTGTCTCTGTTAACTCCCCTGCAGCTTTCAGATGCTGTGTTCTTCTGTTCTTTAAGAAGACCCTACCCCAGGGTCTTTGCATTTGCTCTTCCCCTGCTTGGAATTGTGCCCGCCCCCCGCCAAATATCCACATTGATTTTTCTTGCACCTTTTCCAGTCTTTGCTGAATATCACATTCTCTGTGAGGACTTTCCTCATTACCTTATTTAAAATTATGTGTTGTTTGCTCTATTTCTCTCTATAGCGTTTATAACTCCTTACTATATTTTTTAATGTACTCTATATTCTGTTTATTGTCTCTCTATTTCCACTAGAATAAGTTCCACAACAATAGGAATTTTTGCATATTTTGTTCTCTGCTATATCATTTGTGAGCTTGGAGCAGTGCCTGGCACATAATAGGTATTCAATAAAGGTTTTTAAATGAAGCTGGAGAGGTGGGAAGGACTAGGTCAAGTAGGGCCTTATTAGGGACAATAAAGAAACAACATCTACATCAGACTGGGGTTCAAGGATGGTTGTATTTTGAGCATTAGGTTAGTTCACTGGGGATGGTGGTGGGAGTGGACAAATGGAGACAAGAGGATGGTGGACTTTTAAAAGAATTAGCTTATGTCTAAAAATGTCCTGTCTTCAGATATTTTACAACTTTAGGACTCAAGTATCTGTTAAAAATAGTTTAAACAAATTCTACAGAGGAAGTTAGTTCTGGAAAACTTCACCAGGGAAATTTAAATTGTGTTAATTTTGAGTAGGGGGGGGGAATCTGCCATTGAAAAAGCAGCCTCTATTTTAAATTCGTTTCAACTTACATAATGGAAGATATATTTAGACTAGTGAATTTATAGAATATCAGAAAAATCATATTCTAATTGCTCTACATAATTTGCCTAATGCTTTTCCAGCTGTGCTATACAAAAGAAATATGAAAAATTATGTAGCCACTTTTTTCCCCCAAAAGTTCTCATGATTGGATACTACTCTGGAGCTTTTATTTATAGCATCTTTTTGTATCTCTTTTTTTTTTGTTTTTCACAAATGAAAACTACGATGAACATTTCAAGTAAGCCAAATTTTTGGCTATAAATACCTAAGTGATATTTGTTTTCTCCTTTCTTTTTTAAGATAACCTGCCGAAATTTCATTGGGAAACAGCTCAAGATTAATCCTCTAACCAATAAAGTGACAACTATAGGACACGGGACAGATTTCCTTAAAAATCTTATCTATTCAGGTTGGAACCAGTTTATCTGGAAACTTTCTCTTTTCTTCAAAACAAGGTTTGCTATTGTGTTCTGCATGTCAAGTCTTCCATAATTAAAGTGTTCTCAGAATTTCTTTTGCAGGTTTATTTGACTGAAAATCCATTTGATATTTACCACCTTATGTTGCTATAAATGTCACTTAAGGGGAATTAAAACACATGTTTTTATTAGTTTAATCTGTTAGTTAAAGAAGGGAGATAAAAAGAGGGAGAAAGGAAACTGATGGGAAAAAATAAAGATGGGAAAAGACTGTTTTGCACATTTTTCCCTGTTTTTAATCTCACTTGGGAACTCTTTAAATTGACCTTTTGCTATTTTCTTTGTTCCATCTTGATGCCCGTAATAACTTCCATTTCCATAATCAATATAGATTGTCCTTCTATTGGTGTTACCAAGGTTTAGTTGTAGGTCTTTTAGCGAGAGTGCAAGAGAAGATCTGGGGACATCATGAGTCCTTTGGTTTTAGCTGGTAAGCCCTCTTGGAATGTTCTGGTGGTGCAGCTTGTAGGAATGAGGCAATAGGATGAGATGAAAATGGAAATAGAGCCTTCTCTCAATTGCACTTTTCCTATGTTTTGGGTATAGGAAAGAAATGCAAGTCTTCCCTTTGAAGTGTTAGGATTCCTTCATTGATTTATCTGTTGATTTTAGGTATGTATGTATGTATGTATGTATGTATGTATTCATTCATTCATTTCTTGAGTAGGTCAGGCAGCTGTTCAGTCATTCAGCAAACATTTATTGAGAATCTACTATGCGTTAAGTTCTGTACTAGGTCCTGAGAATACAAAGATGAATGAGACTAAAGATTTGTTATCCGATTTACAGCCCATTGAAGGAGACTGATAAATAAATCAGAGATTGTAGTGTAGAGTAGTAAGGTCTATACTGTTATGACTACTGCTGCTGCTGCTATAAACAATACTAGTTAAGGGCTAGCATCGCTTTTGAGAGACTCCATGTAATCTAGTGGGGTTAATGTAAAAGTAAAAGGCAAAAGCTGAGGTTAGAAAGGTTGGCAGGAGTTGGATAATAAAGGGTCATAGAAGGTAGGATAAAGAGATTCAGCTTTATCTGGAGAGCTGAGGGGAGCTAGTTAGAAGGATGTAAAGAAGGAAGAGCAAATGATCATATTTGTGTTCTTGAACTTTTGGCAGCAGCATGGGGAAAAGGTTGGAAGGAGACCATGTGGAGGTAGGAGAGCAGCTGCTCCCAGCTTGTGTGTTACAGACATGATGAGGTCCTGGACTTAGATGGTGAGAACAGAGGGGTGGGCAGATATGCACTCGTTAGGTGAGGCGGATGGACGGGGAAGGGAGGAATTCAAGTTGCCTTGGTTTCTGGCTTGGGTGGCTAAATGGATGTGATATCTTCATTCTATAAACAAAAACAAAAACAGCAACAACAACAAAAAACACTGAAGGGAGGGGCAGGTTAGAGGAAAACATTTCTTTGCTATAACTGGGTTCAAGGTACCTGAATGATAGCTGAGTAGAATGATCCATTATATGATTGGATGTTTCAGTGAGGCACTCAGCAGATCTGTAATTTAGTCACCAGTACATTGGTAGTGGTTGAAATCAGGGGCTTGTATGAGGTCACCCAGGGAGAGCTCTGTGGAGTATGGACCTGAGGATGGCCTCACTTTGGAAGCTGTGCCAGTCAAAATGGGCTGGGCTATGTAGCAGTCACGAACAGTCCCCAAATGTCATTGCCTTAGCACAAGGGCAAGTCTGTTTTTTGCTCATGCTACTGTATTCAGTGAGGTTGAGAAGCTCATCATCATGGGTTGATGGAATGTCCATCTTGACACAGGCTTCCATGATTGTTTTAGAGGCAGGTGGCAAAACACTAATGTTATCCTCTAGGGCAGCTAAACCTGGAGGTATACAGTAAATGGTTCAGAGCACAGCCTTTGAAGCAAGACCATGTGCATATACTATGCACTTTGTGCTAAGGGCTTTATGTAGATTGTCTTATTTCATTATTATAACAATCCCAATAAAAGAATTATTATTTTGCATTGGACATCAGGCACTCTATGAGTATTAGTGCTTTGTGATTATTAAGTGCTTTGTGAATGTTAGCTTAACAACTGATGAGGTAAGTTTGTTATTGTCCCCATTTTCCAGGCAAGAAAAAGAATGTATTTTATATATTTTTAAATATTTTATAATTTTATATTCATGATTTATATATAAATCAGGTGGTGGCTCTTAAAGCTGATACTTGAAGTTGACTCATGTCACTTCTATTTTATTGGCTAAAGTCACGTGGCAACATCTAACTTCGAAAGGAGAGGGAAGTGTGATGGTATTGTGTACCCCAAGGATAAAGAGATAGAATATGTGAAGAGCCCTAATGACTGTCATGGGAACAAACAGAGAAGGAGCAGTGTCTGAAGGAGATTGGGACATGGCCCAAGAGGTGGGAGGTACAGGAGATGAGAGTGGTACAAACAAGGCCAAGGCGAGAGAAAGTGTGAGTCAGCGGTCAGAGAGAGGTCACATAACATAAGGACAGACTGTCTATTGTATTTGGGAGGTCATTGTCACTGGCATTTTTGCTGTCCTCACCTTAGGGTCTTGCTCTAGCTGTTTCTCCTCCCTGAAGTACTCTGCCCCCATCTAGATGCCTGTCTAATAAATCCCTCACCTCTTTAAAATCTTTGTGCACATCTCCAGTTTTCAATGGTGCTTACCCTGACTGTTCTGTTTGAAACTGCACCCTGCCTGCTTCCTTCCAATTCCCCTTACTCTAATAAATGTATTCTTTTTTCCTGGAGCACTTATAACCACTTATCGCACTGTATAATTCCGTTTTTTTTTGCATTTATTGATCACTGGTCTGTCTCCCCTGATAAAATGTAAGCTCTATGAAGTGAGGGATCATTGGTTCGTTCATTGATATAATCCAAATGCCTTCATCAGTGCCTGACACATAGTAGGAACTCAATATCTACTTGTCAAATGAATGACTTTGTGACTTTGACAAGAGTCACTTCAAAGAAATGGTGGGGAGGGGAGTGGAAGTATCTTGAGTGGTGGGTGCAGTACTGGTGAGCTGTGCCTGCACAGAGTCATTAAACGAGAGTTGCCTTTCATGCAGCTTCGAAGTGACAAGGAAGAGGGGGGCAGGAGCAGCCAGAAGGAAAAGTAGAGCTCAGGACAGCTCAGGAGGGTTTTGTTTTGTTTGTGTGCCTGTTTTTAGTAGAAAAGGAGCATATTTCTATATTAAATGAAAAGAGCCAGGAGAGGGGGAGAGCTCAGAGACAGGAGAAAAAGATATTTGATAGGGAAAGGAGCTTGAGGATAAACAAGGAAGAGAATGGGACATAGGGGACTTAGCCTTAGACGGGAGAGGGGGGACACCCCTGCCACTAGGGCAGAAAGGAAGGAGAGAACAGGCCCAAATGCAGGCAGATTTGTAGATGGTAATGGTAGGTGTTGAAGGCATCCTCACTGGGTACTGGAAATTTTTTTTAATGAAGCAGGGGGTTGAGAGCACAGCCAAGGTTGATAGGGTAGGAGATTTCAGGAGGGATGTGAGAAGGTTGACTGGCCACTGAGAAAAATAGGAAAAGGGAGGATAGAAGGGCTGCAGAGCAGGTAGAGGGTCTAGTTGAGTAAGGTTGGTGACCATGAACTTGTAGGTTTTACTGTTCATGATATTTTACTGTTCATGACAATTTACTGATAAATTGTCTTCTCATATTCAGTGAACAATGGGAGGACCACCTTCCTGTGGTCAATCACCTGTGACTAGTTCCAGTCAAAGAGCATGATTCTTCCTGGGTGTGTTCTCCTTTTCTTCATTTTGTCCGTCAAACCTCTGGAGATTCCCCAATTTGGGATCCATAACTCAGAATGTGATTTATACTATCCCCTCCATCCTAAAAAGAGCTGGCAACAAATGTGAGAATATGTGTCGAAAATGCTTGTTATCAAAACGATGACTAGCATCTCAGGGCTAGGAGAAGTATACGTGGCAAAACTCTAGACCTGTGTGACCAGCAGGTGCTTACTGATGATGGCCACAACATGTCAGAAAAGCACTTTGCCTGCCTATTGTTAAGTTACATTTGGAAAGGCAAGATGGCAGGTGGTGGGACAGAAAGGAAGGCGGTGGGAATCAGGCTACAGTGGTCCTTTGGAATGGTTCTCGGTGGTGGTGGGGGTATAGCCAGTTTGAGCAATGAACAGAGCAGGAATATTCAAATAGATAAAATCTAAAAATTATTGTAATGGCAGTAATAATTGATTGAGCCAAGTACTTTATAGCTATTACCTTCTTTAATTTTAACCATCTTAGGAGGTAGATATTATTATGCTTATTATTACAGATGAGAAAATTTAGTGTTACTAGTGAGTACTGGAACCATGATTCAAACCCTGGTCCGTCTGATTGCTTAACCCATAAGGGCTCCACTAAGCTATCAGGTCTGTTCATCATTTGTCCCCTTGCAGGTTAGACTCTCTTCTAAACTTATAGCACTCAAGAAAAAATTGCTATGTCTCAGTAGTTATGGGGATACAGATACTTTATTGTGACTTGTTATGATAGTTTCACAATTTTTAGATGATCCTGCATAGTAACTACAGGTTTTACATTGAGCAATTATCATTAAAATCTTGGCATCCACCTTAATAGCTCCTTATAAAACTGTAGGACCTCTGTGACTAGGAGCGTAATCTGGCCTGGACTTTCGGGTTTATTAGGCAAATTTTTAGGATGCTGAATTTTTTTTCAGTATACTGAATTCAGATCATTAACATGTTTATAAGCATGATGGGTCTTATGTATATCACCACGACATGTCTGCAATTCTTAAAATAATTTTTAAAAAGACTATGTATACTTCTGATGGTTTCCACACCAGGTCACTGCTTTAGAACCTCATAGATTCCCTTTTGGCATAACAGCATTTGGTGGTAGTGCTTGATACATTTAATTCTTCAGAACAGCTATT